TTCCCCTTGTCATTCTGCCATTTATCTTTGTATTTTTACCCTGCCTTCATGTATCTCCATGAGTCTGAAGTCTGCACAAATTTACTGTGCCAGATTTTCCCCCCAAGGTAACTCAATGAATGACGTAGTTATCATGTGGATGAACCTGCCCACTATCCATCCGCTTCCTTATGAGATTAAACCATTGAGGGAGAGTAAATCCAAGGCAGGAAATAATGAACATAAAGGATTACAATTTGGAGAACAGAGAGATAAGAATTCAAGCCATTTCTACCTACACTGCTGACCATACAGTACCTAAAAATTTGCGTAGATAAATGTCTGAATTTGCACCTCAGTCCTGTAATTTTCCCTACTTGGTTTCAATATTTTTCTGATGTAACAAATATGATGTGGCAGAGCAACAACCTATATCATGTCAGCAGCTGTGCATCTAAAATTAGCTTGTGATTGCATTCAATAATATCCTACAGGTACCTTGCCTTTCTCTGTAACTAACTCTTCAGAACGAGGTTTTCTGTTTTACAAATGATTCTGTGTAAATTTTTCCAAACCAACCCAAACCAATATTGAAATATTCACAGCTTCAAATACAAAATCCTTCAAAAATTAAACAAATTTCAGGTTCATCAAAAACTTTTTTCTAATTTCTAATTTTAATTTCTTATTTCTAACAATCAGTCAAAATTGGAAAAATCAAAATACTACATGTTCAAAAAACTGAAATGGAAACTTCAAACTGGAACATTACACTGCAGTTTTCTTTCAGAGTCAGGAAAGAGAGCATGTCTGCAGAAATGCAGGTGACAGAAAACATTTTTAGAACAAGGAAGAACTCCATCACAGGAAACATCTTACTAGTGCAATAAAAAAGCTCTTCAGTTTGAATTCTGCATCTCTGGAACGTAACAGACGTGTTCAAAGGCTCCTAGACACAAACAATTGACCCCTGTTCTGCAGATTCAATCCTTGTGATCAGTTCTTCCTCTTTTAGGATGCTAAGTTAAGGAAAAAGGGTTTGTTCCTGCTGCTAATTGTCTTTCCCAAAGCTCAGGATAGTCCTTACTCTAAAACCAAGACAACCTTTCTGCCTTCTTTCCCCTGCAGGTTTCTCTCACTAGATAAAAGGACCCTTTGTACAGAGCACCTTTTGTAGAGAAGTGCTGTTTCTTGGCTGACCTCACAAATGTCTGGCTTGCATGATTCAGGACTGAGCAGTAGTAGACATGGACCTTTTAAAAGCTCAACTCTCCCTGTGACATCCTCCTTAACATCCTTTTTAGAGGTAGACAATGATTCTAGGCAGCACTAAAAGTTAGTAGTAAAAAGACCTCTATCCCAAAAGCCAAAAAGGTCATTTTGATTCCACTCACTGTTTCTACCCTCTGGAGTGGACCAAAAGGAAACTTTTTTCCTTTTTTAACTCTGTATCTGAGTTGCAAGAGAGATGCAATGACAATAAAGGGGAAAACATGCAGAGCTGCATTGCAAACCAATTAATCAGAAAACAGAGCACGCCTGCCTTAAAAATTTGCCTGCAGCTCTTGTCTGCTGTGTTATTTTTAAACTGCCTGCAGGTTGCAGATTTTTCAGTGGTCCTTCTCCTAGCAGTGCACACAGAGGATTTAGCAAGGCACAACTTCCATTACCATGAATTTAAGCTACCAAAATTCCCAGTACATTAAAATTCAGCATCCTTCATCTTCCCATAAACTTCTTGCTGGAATTTGTGTATGCACAGGAGGGCATCCCATGTCTCTTAAAGCCTCTCTCTGTGGCAAGGTCAGCATAACTTGGCTCTGCATTCCTGATGTTCTCAACTGCCATACATCAGTCTGCAGAGCACAGCCTGCAGTTACCATCATCATCAACCCAGGCATCAAGCTACAAACTCTTTGGCACATCATGAAAAACCCAAGACAGACCCAACTGACTGAACCCAATGCTCAGTTTCACAGCACTTCCTACCCAGAGATGATTTTCTTGGCACCAAGACCACCTGCTGTACAAATGAAGGCTATGTGCAGGCACAGGGCACTCTTCCATCACACATCCAGGACACAAACTTCACAGTACTCCCAGCAAACCTGCCCCACTTCTGGGGAAGGCTGGATGAGATAGAGTCAGGACTTGACATCTGTAAACAGGAGAGCTCCTACGTGCAGAGAAATGGCACAATGCATGCACAATTCCTCTAGAGAAGGGACCAACAGGAAGAATAGTCTACTCATGTCTCCACAATATTTTAAAGGAGAAATCAATGGGGCATTTTTCAGTAACACTGATCATCGCAACTGCTGCTGCTGTAAACAGAAGCTGCAGATGCTCAGACTTTCTGAGAGGTCAGACACTGCAGCCAAACATCATGAATATTATGGTTTGTTTCCTTCTCTGTTGCGTGGTTTATTCTGCAGCCCAGAGCAGTACTGCACAGCAATACCTGTCAGGTCAGAACCTCTCACCTCAACTGATTTGAGTTGTCTGAGACATCAAACCATTCACACACCTGACCACTGTTAGGAGCTCTAAAAATTACCCCAGCTAGCGCTGTAAGAAGCACTGGCTCAGCATCAGCAGCAGGGGCACAGGCACATTCACTTCCACCCCTGTGACACACACAGAGCAGATGACAACTGTGTGATTTATGAGGAGTTTGGTTTGGATCTGGAGTTCCAGCACAGAAGCCTTTGCCCTCAATAGGGTACAGCAGGGACTTGAAAGTAATTTTGATATAAACAGCCAACGAGTTTCAGTCAGAGCAAAATCCTCTCGCCCCACAGGGCTGATGACTGTCTTCTTGTGGGACAGCGTGGGACCAGTTGGTCTGTTGCAGCAGTGAGGGTCAAGCAGAGCCCGGCCTCGCCTCCCTGTGTTGGGTAGGGTTAGGTTGCTGTGCTGTGGGTTCAGCTTGTGCTCACTTGACCCTGTGTAATGACTCTCTCCCATCCTTCTACATTACACAACTAGGTAAGCTGCTGCTCATTTCTCCCTCCTGATTTGGAGAGTCTTGATTTGGCTCTTGGCTGTTTTTATTTTGCAGACATCCTCTATGTAATTGCATGGCCTGGCCCCAGGCTGCCAGGCTCTGGGAGAAATAACCACATTATTCCACAGAACAGTTAGCATAATTAAAATATTGACTGCAGATTAAAAAAAATGTGCTGAATACTTCACAGAGTGGTTGGAGGGTTGGCAAGTCTTGGCAGCTTGTTGGCTGCAGGAACTTGCTGATATTTAGGCGTGCCTTCTCCTTCAGAATTCATTGCTGTACGTGGGAACTGCTTTTTGTGCTGTCAACTTCTTATCTTGCAAGCAGCCAACCCACAACCAAGAAAAAAATGAGCTGACTGGAAATGAGGAGCTCCAAGGGCTTTCTTGTGATTCTTATTGGCAGTAAGACCATTTCCTTGTTATTTATGACTTCAGGACATCTGTCTTACTGTGTCTCTATCTATTTTTATTTGTGTCCATCTCTCCAAATGCACATTGTAGGAACTGCATATGGTGAGAATGTACCAGGTGATAAAACCATTTGCTTAAGAACTGTCTGTACCATATGAGAAGCATTAATAAAAAAAAGCCCACGAAAACCTCCACTGGAACACTCATTTTAGCTACTATTCCTTCTTTGACATTTGATTTCTATCTGTACTTCATCTGTAACCAAAGTCTAAGGCATAAAATCTGTATGTTTCCACAACCAAGATGGCAGAAGGGGATGGAAGAAACCACTGAAGCACTGATCACTACTGGGCACTTTAGGAATTCTTAGTGCTTTTGCAATATCTCCCCATTCTCGTTCTCAGGAGAGTATCTGGGATAATAAACATTGCTAAAGACACACAGGTTTGGGTTTGAATGTCTTCCTGGTTCTGTCTACATCCCCTGCTCTTTGGCCAAAAAGCTAAAATGATCTCATGCTACCAGTGTTAAACGAAACATGTGGATGATGCCTAAAACACTTTGCAGACATCGACATCCTGAATGAAATGCAGTAGGATCAGTAACTTGCCAAGGTACTGCTTTAAATCAGCTTCTAATTTAATCTTCACTTACACGCTTGAGATTTTCCTGGAATGGTAGGAACTGTTTGAGCAGCAGAGCAGTCTCACAAGCTAGGACCAGGGATGGCTGAGCTGAGCCTGTCCTACTCCACTGTAGCTTCCAGGGACAAGGGTCTGATTTACAGTCTGATCTACAGCTCTTTTGAGATGAGCTAATTTTGAGAACATTTCCATCCCCACTCAAGGGATGTCACAAGAAATGACCAAATACTATTTTCTGAGGCTTCTATTACAGCTTTAAAATAATCATAATAGCAAATTAATAGCATATCTACTCTGCCATTTTCCATTCTCATTGCCACCTCTATAATCAGGAGCAGCTCTACTTCTTCAAAGCTTATTTTTGCGATACTTCTCATTTTTGAATAAGCAATTAGGAAAGAAGCATGATATCTTGGCACTCCAGCTGTGGTCTGTAGGCTACTGCCCTCCTTCTGTGCTAGGTTTATTGCTAGTTTCTGCTCTCAGTATTGACCTCCAAACTGTAAATCATAAATATCACCTTGGTAGACACCATTCTTTCAAAGGCAAAAATAGATTCTTTACATACATTTAAAATCTCTTCTAAATTAAACCTCAAGATAAACTCTGTGGAATGAGACAAAATATGTTCTAAATTCAGTACACAGAAAGAAATTCACTGGGTGTGCACAATGGGCAGCAGAATTGTTACAGCCTTTCTCTGTTCTGATAGTTCATGTGGCCAAGTTTTTAGTTTGTCTCCACTGGATGATTCATCTCTATTACCAGTATTTTCAAAATTAAATGGAAGAGGAGGAATGTGTTGATTCCCCTGCTGTGTTTAATAATATTCCAAAAATTGTTTCCTGTTTACTTGGAAATCCCCACCTCCATGCTGTGATTTAAGCATTCTCACCCTGTTGACTTAAAAACGAAGCCTAGAAGATGCTGTATAGTTTTTATCTTGCAGTCATAATGCAATTTATGATAAATGTTGTTGTTCCAGAGAGAAATGACTTGGAAATGTACGTATGTTTACAGCTCTACATTGCTCATTTAAATAATAACTGATTGTTGGAAAAAAAATTACGAAATTGTCATTCAGTTTTTATTTATGTAACATGTCTGATGACTGATGGCAGCTGCTTCTTTAACAATCACCGTGTTGGTTCTCAAATACAAATCTCAGTAAAGGCATCAATAACCCCATTTATGGAGCTGTGCTACTTTCTTTCATGGTACTGGCTGGCACACAACTGTGAATAGTCAGTATGATTGTTTTGTGCAAGACTCGTCTATAAGCAAAACTTACAGTGTATTTTCAAGACAAAATATTAAAAATACCTAAATTGCTTTTCCAGCTGAAGCATTATCTCTGAATTCCTGTGGCTTGGCTGGACAAAAGGCAAAGAATTTTCCCCTTAGCTTCCTCAAGGAATAAATTTGCACAATAGTTCTAAGATTTTACTTACGTAGCACATATCAAACAAACTATTCTTATAGAAAAGATTTGCATGAGCTGACACAAGTCAGTGTGTTCTGTGTTAGCTTATGTGAAAAGAGTTCATTTAAAAGGCAGCAACATCCTGTGGCCTGAGAACAGAGCTGAAGCTGGGAATTCAGAAGGGACCTGAGCTTTCTCACACTTCCTCTCAGCTTTTCATAGAGGTCTAAATTTTTCTAAATGAACATTACATTTATGTGATTAACCAGAGGCCGCATGGGCCTGATTTACCGATGTGTTAAATTTCTACTGCTCCTATTAAAGCTGTTGGGAGCTTCCAGCTCTCCACATTTCAGACGGCTGTAATGCAGTTACACACAGCCCTTGGGAGGGAGAGTAACACCATTACCTTGGCGAGTACCAGGCATGGACAAAGGCAGGAAAGCGATGGAACAAAGCATGGGGTGTACAAACTCAGCACATTCCCCTCTCTGTGGGCCTAACAGCCCATAAGGAATGGCAGCAGTGGAGATACCGAAATATTTGGCATCCAGACAGGTACTGTGCAAGATCAGACTCAGGAGAGCTGCTGGTAGGAAGCACCTGGCTGGCCCAGTGAGGTTGAACGCCTCTGGCTGGTGTCCCTCAGCTTGACCAACAGCTCCAGCAATGCAGAGACTCTCCAAGTCTTACACTGCTTACCTCAGTGACTAGACTGAATGCTTGTTAGCCTCCATTTGCCTCCCCTTTTTAAGTCTCTGCTGAAGCGTTTTGTCTAACAGCTGGCTTTCCTCTCTCCTCCCCTCTCAGATGAGATGGAGCAGTCCCCTGCAATGCGTTCTGACTACTTGGTCTCAGGGATTCGAACTCCGCCAGTGAGGAGGAACAGCAAACTGGCAACACTGGGCAGGATCTTCAAACCATGGAAGTGGCGGAAAAAGAAAACCGAGAAGCTAAAGCAGACGTCTGCAGGTAGGATGAGAACAACAGAGTGATGCTGCACAGAGCAAAGCTTAGCTTGGCTGAAATCTGCTTACAAAGGAAATGTTAACGGTGACCTGATCTAAACCTCATTCAGAGACTTCAGCATGTTACAGATTAATAACGTTTAAGGCTAGGAAGAGACATATAGACTGACTTCCTATATAAGATTATAATATAACATACATTTAGAAGAGAAGGTTACAATATGAGTGTGAAGCACAAGCCTTGACACAGACTGCTTTTCATGGGCTGTCCCTTCTCCAAAATATGCTACATTTTTGGCCCCAAGTATCATCACCCCTTTTATTTGGGGTGAAGATTATATAAGTCACAGTAACGTTATGAAAAGTGACAGGAGGGAGCTGCAGCATGTAAAATGCCTTCCCTCAAGTATCTGCCTCTGCAGGGAAGGAGCCCAGCACAAAGCACTGCATGCTCTCAGCTAGTCTCCAGGGATGTACCAGGAGATCAGTAAGGAGACAAACTCACTTGGCTTTTCCTAAGACAAGGATGTTGCCACTTGCCCCAATACCCCATGGAGTGTCACAGTAAAGGACACTGCTTCCTGAGGCAGCTCCAAAGCGCTGTATGAAACAGCATGAAGGCTCCAAGATCTGCACTCAGTGTGATCAGACACTAGGTTAGATCATAAATCTCAGCCCTACGTGTGGGTGATTTTGCAGTTATTTTAACAAAGGAAAAGGCACAAACAGGCTGACCAGTCCATGCTCCCCAAAACAAGATCCTTTCCAAGCACACAGTAGTTGAGACGAAAGGGAATTTCCACTTGTTCACTCCATTATATGAATATTCTCTTGTTAACGGGCTGTTACTTCATGCAGTGCTGGAGAAGAAGATGACAGCACGACAAGGTCGGGATGAACTCATTAAGAAAGGCCTTCTGGAGATGATGGAACAAGGTAAGTAAAAATTCTTCATCTTTTTTATCAGAGTCTTTTTCAGGAAAATAGGTGGAAACACATAATTGGAAAAGAAGAAACCTAACAATCAAATTATATAAAAAGGAAAACCTTCAATCTAAACAGAGAGGAAAATTCAGTATGTGAATTAAGCACAGCTTTCTTCAAATTCCTCCCTGCTGAAATCAATTCATGGAGTTCTAATTTTTGACGTTTTACCATCTTGAATGCAACTCCATCTTCACTTGATTTATATATGGTTCAATCTGAGCTGGTACATATCTTTTATGCAATTGCTGTAAACCTAGCTAAATCCTACTGCCAAGAAAGTCAGCTAAAGCTGGTATAAATATAAACTTAAACATTCAGCTAACATGTACAACCCATGAATCCAAATCTCATCAAATGATACTAATCTGATGTTTTCAGCTGTCTTTCCGGTAAACCAAGTTTGTGACAAATCATATTACCATTCTGCCTGGTTTTCATTCTCATGGAAAAGTGAAGCATTTGGTAGTGTCATTTTAAAGCTTTCCTGGTTCAGCTTTTCAGAAATCACTGAATGAAAGCTGATAAAGTGTCAGAAACATGCACAAAGGACTGTGGTTCTGTATGTCCCTGCTCCAAAGCCCTCAAGGGAGACAGAGATCTGGATGAGTTCTCTGTGAGATCAAGTGAGCTCCCAGTGTTATGGACAACATCCCAGTTGCCATTTCCATCTAAACAGAGATAAAAAACATAAATCCATCTTTACTTTGAAAACTTTATAGCAGAAAGTACTGTTGTGAAAAAAAGATTGGCCTTTTGAGTTTGACCAATCTGATAGATAGAATTTATATTCTTTGAAACTAATAATTGAGTTTCTTTGTATAAAACAAATGCCATGCCTATAAATAGTCTGTGGGACAATACTCACTGATGCTATGCTGGAGTGTAACCGAGCAGCTGAAGAGTCAGGAAAAAAGCATTTTAAACAGGTTTGGGTTTTGGTTTTTTTCCCAGTAAAGCTATTTTCATACTATTTTATTGGATATATTTTAATGAGTTTTATGCTCAAGTTTTTTTTTAAAAAAAAAAAAATCTATCAAACCACTAATCTGTTCTAAAATGGAAGTTTTTAGAAAGCTCATTTTTAATTCTGTCCATTGAACTCTGTGTCTCATAATTCTTGATAATTAGTTAGCCTATTAGCACTATGGGATAGAAAAATACACCCCATTTCTGCTAGGAGTATGGAAGTTCCCCATAAACCATGAATTTGAAGACATGGGTACCTATAGCTTTACAAAAGCACAGTAAAATAAAACTTCTGTAAGGCACATTAAAAGATAATAATAATAACAACAATGAATCAATAAACCTCTTGCATGCATAAAGAACTAGCTGGGAGGAAAACAGATGATGCTAAATTGCAAGACCATTTTAACAAAATTAAAATTATTTAAATAAATACATGTAGTCCAGTAAGAAGTGAGGACAAGCTGTGCTTTCAAAAAGGCCGCTGCAAACAGGCTGCTCACCTGTCTGCAGTAAAGTTGCAGGGAGTCCTGTAATAATCAAACAGATTTTCAGTGCCTCCCTGCTGCCCAGAAGGGAAAGAATGGCGAACAGTCAGCTGAAGGACATCGCAGCTGCCTGCAAGTGATTCTTCTTTACAGAGTGTTGTGAATCTCCAGGGTTATTTTATTATATTATTAGGAGAAGTAGCTTATTAACTGGAATCAAAAATTGACCCAAATAATTCTCAGTAAATGATTAGTGCCCTACTTGGACTGAGCTGAAGTGGCAGCAGTTTCAAGGCTAAGTCCTCGTTTGTGCAGTAAGTTGCAATTGTCAAAGCAGCAAGACTATGCTAAACGACCAGAGTAAATCCTAAAATCCCTCCATTTCATCAGTCTCTACTTCACTTCCAGAGACCTGATTCCTGCTTTCTTTCATAAGTAGCCCAAACTGGGATGAAGCTATAGTCTGAGAAATCTCCAGATCTCCTTCATGCATTTACAATAGCTGTGTCACACTCTGGTTTCGCAGCACAAGGTCTGTCAGCAGCATTTTGAACTGGACTGTTTGGCTCAGAGCGAACCACAAAGCGAGCACAGAATCTGCATCAATCTGTGAGCAGCCTAGGGTGAAATTGCACCGTCCTTGCTTTGGTGATGACTCATCCTAACAGGTTATGTCACTCTTTCTCCTCACACAACCCCAAAACCCAGCTGCCCAGACATACTGCGCAGACAAGGTTGCACAGCCTAGCCCCTTCTGTCTTCTCCTCTCCAGCTCTGCTCACAGAGGGCAAATGCAGCTTCAGTATTTGAAGCTGGCACACAGTGGGATTCATTCCCAATATAAATTGCAGCCCTTCTTCTGATTACTTTGCAATACTCACTCACGACTGTCCTGCTGCTTTCCTTACCAGTGGATCTAAGATCTGTGCTTTCTCCTGTCCCCTGACTATCTCTAAAATACAGCATTGGGACCCACTGCCACTCAAAGCAGCACACCTACTTTGATTTAAGCATGAGCTGATCATTTCTGACCAGGAACATCACTGTTGTGAGTCTCAGACACTCCTCAACAGAAATTCCGTCTTCTGCTTGTCATTTCTTCGTTAGTCACTACACTTGCCATCGGCCAGGATCTGAAGGAACTCATGTCTCTCTGACTGCCGTTTCATGGTGGCACAGCTGTCAGCAGCTTGCCTTTCTGAAGGGTGTGACGAACGTACAAAGCAGAGTTACCTTGAGAACATTTAGGGAGCTTCCCCCAATATTTCTCCCTATTTTGAGCACAAAACTGATCAGATGTACCTGTACTTACAGCAGAGAGAGATAAGGGCTGCCTGTCAAATACTGCAGGCCGCTGTTAATACACCGATCATTATCTATAGGCTGCCTTCACAATGAGCTGAAATGTAGGCAATGAACTTTCCCCCCCTCCCCTTCCTTGTATCATAGCAACTGTGCTACCGCAGGGGCTATTTTAAGAACAGTAACTTTTCACCAAACGTGATTATGAGGCAGACTGAGTGAGCTCAGCGTACAAAAATACCGCATCCCTTCCGCAGCATCTCTGGGCCAAAAGCTGATACCCTTACCCAAAAGGGCAATAAATTACTCTGCAGATTGTCCAAATAGTATTAAAAAGGAGTAGCTGTGAATGCTAGCACTGATTTTAAATCAATGTTCAAGAAACTTGTCATGATATCATAAGCCCTGTCAGGAGCTTCCAGAAAGGAGTGTCTAGGGCTGAGAAATACAAGTTGGGTGGTCAGGGGTGGACAGCAGACATGTCCATCAGCACGGACTGCTGGCTACAGCGGGAAGTAATTGCTTTGATTTGCAACAGTGATGTAGATCTTGTAAATTCTGAGAGAGTCGTGAAGTAAAAGGGTAGTTTGTATTCTGAGGACTCTTGCCTGAATAGGAGAATACCAGAAAAGCTTCAGTCATCAAGATGCGTACAGCTGCAGGGATCGCTGACACAAAAATCTTTCAGAGTAAGCACAGGGAGCAGTTTCTAGGTCTGCATGAAGAGGGATTTGAATTTCTGATCAGCTCAATCACAGAGGACACAGTTTTCAAAGCTGAGTAACTAAAACTATGCTCAAAACCTACAGTTTGGTAGGGAATGCCAGCAGCCTTATCTTCAGCAGGGCTCCGATGTTACTGCTGGGGCAGCTGGATGGCAGCGTGTCGTGCACAGAGCCTGACACAACTCAGACACGTCAGACCAACCTGTGCACGTGCTGCACCACGAGCTCTGCTTGTGCAAGGAACTGCCTCCTCCCAGAGAGCTCTAATTTCTCATGCTTGTGCTCATCTCCCACATAGCAGGTGCTCACAGAGGACAGTGGCTTTCCTGTACATGCACAATGGCCATTTGCCCAGACCGTGGGATGTCCACAGAAAAAGGTGCCCCCTTGAGAAAACTGGGTGATTATTAGTATCCAGATGGGCTGATCTCCACAAGTTTTGCATTACAGATGCTCAGCACTGTTAGAAATTACATGCTGCTCAAAGACAAATCTCAGTCCCCTGAGCACTGGCATCTTTGAGACTCATTCTTCTCAAGAGGCTAGCAGGGAGTTTCAGCTTTCACTGCTCATGGTTTAGTTAAGATTCAATGATTTGGTGTTTCAGATACCGAAGGCAAAGCCTGCACTGGTGATGATGCCACGAGAGCAACGCAGAGTGACCCTCCAGCTCCTGTGTGCCAGGCACTTGCCTCAGAAGAGGTGCAGCAAGAGAGTACAACAGCAGCCACAACGAATGCGACCTCGCTGGGTGAGGATCTGCATTTGGATGAGCTGAAAGAAGATGCAGGTATTGGATATAAAATGGTTTTGGGTTTTTTTTGAACTATAAAATGTTAAAAAATATTTCTGCTGAGCTGCTTCATGAGAAGTCAAATTGGTCAGTGCATTAAAGGGTCGGAGCACCTTGTTCAGCTCAGCCCATACTAGGTCAGCAATCAGTACTAAAAACAGTGATTTTTTGAGACTGCTACCAAACTGAGGGACCACAGAAAGCTTGGCATAATGGGATTAGTTGGATTATGAGATGATCCAATCTTGGCATAGTGCCCCTTTGGTATTAGCACTGACTGCTGTGAAGATCTCTTAAAAACATTTCTTAAACTTCTGTGCCAAGCCTGAAATTGCTTGTCCTGGCTCAGGAGAACAATGTCAATACACAGCCCACACTGTCTGTATCATCACCTTGTCTACAACATGCTGCAAATACAAGTGAAGTTCAATACCAGGAACACAGATAAGCTAACCCAAGCTCCTTTCATGCAACTGCGCTCTAGCAGAGCACATCTGTGACAGCAGTTCCTTGGGACCAGAGCAGCCAGGCACAGCCTAGCAGCTGGAGGGTTTACATTTACTGCCTGACAATCAAGAAATGCAAAGCTGTAGAGATAATGCTTTATCCTAGTTTGTGAGGAGTACCACGTAGTGATTACAGATCTTCTTGCCCATTCTTTCTGGTCAATCTTTACACCTTCACCATCTGCTCTGGTTGCCTTTTGTTCTCCACCCACCCCCTCATGCCCTGTGTTCTATCTGAGGTCCCAGCCCCCAGCCACTTTCACCAAGCCCACCCCTACCTGCTGTGGTTTACTGAGCAATGCTGCCTGCTTCTGCTCTTACCCTGCTTCAGCAGCTCAGAATGGAAATCATTCTCTGAAGGGTTTTCCATTTCTTGGCTTTATCCTTTCCCATTTCCTTTTCCTCCTGTCCTTTCCATCCCCATGACTCATGCAATTTTGCTCCCTTTTGCTGTTTTACTTTTATATAATATTGCTCTTCTGGCTCATTTCTAGCTCTACTCCACTCTTAATTGTTTTGACAACAGAAGCTCTTCTGTCTTCCAAAAAGTATCTCTTGTCATGTTTGCTCATCACAAAGATTTTTTTTTTTGGTTTAAGTTTTGCAACACCTTGCCATCACCCATCACCTTCTTCATTTCAACTACACGTGTTATTTCATCAAGAAACATCCCAAAGCACTGTTTGTGGGCTTCTAAAGATTTATCTTCTCTCTTTTTTGTGTCTTAAAATAGAGACAAAATAGAGAATTGGACATAGACAGCTTCCATTAATACATGCCCTTAATGCTTTTCCTTTCTCTTCAGACTCTATCCTTTATGGCTACGTTTGCTTTTGTATCACCCTAAAAGTTATTTGAGGCAAAGCCCATTCATCTCCCTGTTCTTAGAACAACTGGATCAACATCTTGACCAGAATCCTTCAGGCACTGCTATTATTAGCAATAACACACTTTTCTAGAGTGTGTTCCATATCACTAAGGAAATTTACCTCTGAACTTGCTAATTCTTATCACTGGGAGAAGCTATCCTGGAAAGATGGCACTAATAATGTACCATGTATTTAACCTTATGGCTCTGCTCTCTCATTTTGAGTTTATTGTAATGTTTGTCCTTGGGCTCAATCCAGGCCCAGTACAGTAGGTGTCTTTCCACAAATTCATATAATATATGGCTAGTTAAAAACAAAATGAATATATTTGCTTTATACTCAATATGTTGTGTTTCATCCTGAGGATGTGGGGTGAAGGCCAGGGAGGGGAAGAGGAAGGAACAAAAGGAAATTTTTGTAGACTTCACGTTTGGTTAAGACACAGAAAATGAACAGCCGAGGCAGAAAGAGGGCAGCTTTTCCCACCTAGCCTAGCCAAAGACCCTGGGGGCAGTCCCAAGGAGAGGATTTCTACCTAGTAGTGAGGTGGCATTTCAACAAGTGGCACTCCATGAATAATTAGCTACCATG